CAAAAGAGATTTGTAGGAAAAAGAAGAACAAGAAGGAATGGGAGGCGTAGAAAGTGCACAAGAGAGAATAGAGAGAGAGGAGTGAGAGGAGTGAAAAGAAAGAAAAAGGAAAGTGAGACCCATATGAAAAAAAAAAAGAGAAACAAAATAAATAGAATTGACCAAATAATAAAAAAGGATCATGTAAAATTGTACCAAAAGTAGTGGGCCCCACAAAGGATAGGATAGTCAAAACAACAAAAAAGGGAGTGTCTTAGCTACAGTGAGAGTAGAAAAAGCGCGGCCCTTATTTATTTACGTGGATTAGCAACAAAAACCGAAAAAGAGCACGCACGTGTGCTTGTAAAAAAAAAGCGAAAGGAAGGTTTCAATTAGTTTGGATAACAAATTTAAATAGTTATAAAATAAGACGAAACATTTTTAAGTCCAAATTTGAGATATGAAATATTTATGGGATCAACCGGTAAATTACATCGACTGCTTAAATTACAATTGTACAACATGATTTTGTCCATTTTGTCATAAAATGTCATTGTAATTTGTGGATGTCAAGCATTGGGCAAGAATGAAATTTTTGCCCAATGAAATTTTGAGGGCTGAAAAGTCTCAATATGTTATTATATGTAATATAGTATAGTATAGTATAGTATAGTATGTCATAGAAAGATGTAATGTCGATGAAATTTGCAGGAACTTAGCCAAGTTAACATAATGACCTCACCGTATGCCTTCCATTTCACCAGCGACAAAGCCCTAGCTGCTGCCGAATCAATCTCAGCCGTCCATCTGATTGCATAAGAGATCTTCCTAGGGTTTGCGATTGGAGCTGCTTTATAAACTCTCCCTTCCTCTACATCAGTCGGCCGTCGTCTCCTCCTCGCTCCTTCTCTCTCTCTTCCAGAGCTCCAAGCCTGCCGCGACAATGGTGAGTTCGAAGAACCCTTTGATTCTCAGAAAACCGTGTAAGATTTGCTCTGCTTCTTGTGGGTTTTCTGTTTCGTGAGCTGTGGTTGCTTCGGTTCCTCCGAAAAAAGCTGAGGAAGTGGTTTCGAGCGTACCTGGGATTGGTTGGTTTAAGGTTGAGTATGGCCTTTTCGAGTGCGGAGGATCCGATGTAGTGGCCGGCTGTAGATGACTGTTTCGTTGTTGTGAAGGCGGTTTCCTTTGGGTCGCTTGCTCGTTGCCGTCCCTTCTTAGCTCGGCGTAGAATGGTTGTTCTTGTTCTTGCTCTTGTGGCAGCGGCTTTTGGTAGATTCCCGATTGATTCGTTCGATTTGGGGTGTGTTTTGTGGGATTGGCGTCTTCTCTTGGTGCAATCTGATCTGGGGACGGCATTTGACGAGCTTTGTTCGATCGGAGGGGCGTAGCGAGTTTTAAAGATGGGTTTTTTCGAGTGAAATTCGCGGTGACGAGTCTTTTTTTGAAACCTTATTGGGGTCTACGTGAAGTCGTTTACCGTGTTTGGTTCTCATTGTTTTAGCGAATGTTCTGTTTCCGGTTCTTTCCGCTTCTGATGATACGTACCCCTGCACTGTGTATCAGGTGTTTGTCAAGGCTCAGAAGAGCAAGGCTTACTTTAAGAGGTACCAAGTCAAGTACAAGAGAAGGAGAGGTATAGGATCAAGTCTTTGGCTGTGGAAGTTGCGTGTGATTAGCATAATTCGGCTGTTATTGAAATGTTCTCCCTGTGTCTTTGCAGATGGGAAGACCGACTACAGGGCTAGAATTCGCCTGATTAATCAAGACAAAAACAAGTACAACACTCCCAAGTATCGCTTTGTGGTGCGCTCTGTATCCTATAACGCGGTTGTCGCTTTTCATTGGTGGGTTTATTGTAGGAAATATAGTGGCTATAAAGTCAACCAGAGACCTCAAAGACATGCATTTTCTAATTGGGATGTGCCTCTGATATGAAAAGTTTTTGGTGTACTGAAGAATCCATGAAAAGTTTTCAGTTAAAGGAATAGAATGTTGTGTTTTTTTTTGTGTCTCGTACATAGAGGATTTGGAACCTTAACCTTTTTGTAGTCCAATAAGTTTATTGTTGCGCAAATAATATCTGCTAGCATTGCTGGAGATCTTGTACTGGCTGCAGCTTATTCCTGTGAGCTGCCTTGCTATGGGCTTGAAGTTGGTCTGACGAACTATGCAGCTGGTATGTCCTTGTTTGTTTTAGTTCTGCTCTCTCTTCCTTTATCTGATACAACCATACTCATTCCCTACTGGAACATAAGCTTGTTTGGCTCTTTTATCAGTATATACGTATTCTGGCCTCTTTGGCTGAATCTTTCCATCTTTTTAATGGATTAGCATATTGCACCGGACTCCTCTTGGCTCGTCGGGTTTTGAAAATGCTTGAAATGGACCAAGAATATGAGGGCAATGTTGAGGTATATCTATTACTCATGATTAACCATTTTCTTGATGAACCATTTTGACTTAAGTAAGTTCCGTTTTGTCATTCTCAGGCAACTGGAGAGGATTTCTCCGTTGAGCCTGCTGAGACCAGGAGGCCATTCCGAGCTCTTCTTGATGTTGGTCTTGTGAGAACGACAACTGGAAACCGTGTTTTTGGTGCGCTTAAGGTATGATAATTGTTTCCCGAACCTGTGGCTTCTTGTGAACGTAGTATGTCGACAGAAAAGCGTTATTCTATACGCACCAGATTGTATGTCTGGAAGTATTCATGCACATCTTCTTTTTTCTTCAGGGAGCATTGGATGGTGGTTTGGATATTCCACACAGTGAAAAGAGATTTGCTGGTTTCTCAAAGGACAGCAAGCAGCTCGATGCAGATGTTCACCGCAAGTACATCTATGGTGGGCATGTTGCTGCTTACATGAGGGTAACTTGTGCTTTTGTGCGATTCTGATGTTCTATCCCTTCATTCTCCTCCCTGTTCTGAAGGCGAGCCGAATTTCTCTGGTATGTTTGCATGTTTATGCAGACATTGATGGAAGATGAACCTGAGAAGTATCAATCTCACTTCAGTGAGTACATCAAGAGAGGACTTGAGGCGGATGACCTTGAAGGGTTGTACAAGAAAGTTCATGCTGCTATTCGTGCTGATCCTACTGTAAAGAAAACTAAGAAGGAACCACCTAAGGAACATAAGAGGTCGGGGTATATATATGCTGACAAAAAAATAACTGTGCTGCTTTGCATAATGTTGTGGGCGTTGTGCTGATTAATTCTTTTCTTGTGCCTAAAGTTTGCTAGTTTTTAAAATCTCGAGGATTTTTATAATTAATATATCTTTTTCACTTAATTAAGGACTTTTTTGCCTTGCAAGGATGCTTTTTCTCACTCTGTATATAGAATAATTTCTTGCTGTGTTTTGTTTATTGTGTTAATATAATGGAATTGCCTTGATGGTTTGTTTTGGTTTCCGTGAGAGAGGCGTTTGCAATCGTTGGCATATGCTTGTTCATTTGTCTTGATATAGAAGTTCTCAGTTAGATATATGTATACTCCGAATGGATCCGTGTACTGACAGGCTGGTTATCTTTTCTTGCCAGATTCAATTTGAGGAAGTTGACATACGAGGAAAGGAAGGCCAAGTTGATCGAACGACTTAATGCCCTGAATTCAGCTGCTGGAGTGGACGACGAGGATGAAGACGACGAGTGAATGTGTTCCATAATGGACCTGACGCTTTGAGAGAGACTTATTTTTGCCCCTAGTCAATCAGCCTTTTAGGGTTTTGCTCCCTGTTCTCTTTTTGTTTACCGTTACCATTTGCAGGTTGGGATGTTTCCGAAACATAATACCATCTCTTATTTGAGAAGTTAGCTTGGTATGGACCTTATTTCTTGTTTCGACTCTAATGTTAATGTGCGATTAGCAGAGTTTGTTGTTGCCATCACTATGGCCGACGGGCAATTTCTCTGAGTACCCTGTGCTTTTACAGTTACATAAATCTGGACGGGGTAGTGCTACAACATTGTTTTGGTTCTTAGAACTTTCATCAATGTGCATGTATATAACTCAACTTAATGTATGCAAAATAAATTGGTGATGTCGTCTCGTGATGTGCAACGTAAGAATATAAAACATGCTGACTAGTTCCAGAAATAGATGAATGTATGGATTAAGTGAGAGGTCTCGTATGGTCTTATTGTCAATGTGGCATTGGATTTTCATTGAGTTGGGTACTCCCTTGTCTATCATAATTTAAACGGCCGTAAAAGAGTTCAATGTCATGGTGCTTCGATGTGTAACGGGGTCAGAAAATCAGTACTATATGACCTTGGTTCAGGGGCGGCGGCATGTGACCCGACACGATTTAAACTTGAAATTAAACCTCTTAACTTATATCGTTGCACAATTATGCTTTCCATTTCCTTTTCTTGTTTTCGTGAAGGATTATTTATTGGATCTATTAGTAACGTAAGAAACAATTCGCGCTAATTGCTATCAATATATGCACATGTTGCACGAGAGAAAAGCTATTCGCATTAATAGAACGAGGGGAAAATGGGACAAATGGTCTTTGAAATTTGGTCTAATGTGCAATGTGATTCATGAACTTTTAATTTATACAATATAGCTCATGAACTTCAGCTCAATGTGTAATGTGATTTTTAGACTTTTGGTACATGCTCAATATAATTCCTAAACCATATGAAAATGTTCAATGTTATAATCACTTTGAACAAATTGACAGTTCATGAATCATATTGCGCATTTGACTAAAGTTTAGGAATCATATTGATTAAATTAAAAGTTTAGAAATAATTTGTGTCGTTATCCTTAAAAAAAGGGGCATTGCAAAACTCTTTTTTTTACTTTTTTATTTACCATCGTATATTCTAATTATTAAACTTGATTAAATTAATGTTTGGGAGATCGAATTCGAACAACGAGCACTAAAAGGACCAATGTTATTAAACACACGAAGCACCCACCGTCCGGTCCAGTCTTTCGTCAGCAGTTTGAAAGCTGAAGGTTGGTTCCTCGTCAGTCCCAGCGCGGCGCTCGCGATTCATTTCCATCTTCCTCGGAGAAGAAGAGAGATGCTGGGTCGATGCTCGATGCCTCCATCGTCGAGCGACGTTCAGTTGTTGCAGAGCTTGAGCGGGATTCGGCATCTCGCGGAATCGCGTCGCTTCAAGGTAGTACCCCCCACCCACCACAAAATGCCGAAGCAGACGATGCTCTCGGTACAGCATTTGCAAAAATTTCTTTCTTTTGGACTGATTATGTTCTGGGTCTTCCTGTTTTTCCGAGAAATCGTCGTGCATTGCGTCTCTTCTTGTACTGTTTGGATTGGTTGAGTTCGGCGACAACTGCATTGCACTTGCACTTCTCATGAGATGACGAGGGAACAAAAGATATGGCCGAATGCTATTCAATTTGCTTTTGGGTCAGAACTGGTAGAAGCATCATCGTCATATGTGTGATCATCTGTGGCGAATTTGACTCGCCAGCATGCGTTTGTCAAGAATTGGCGATGGAACTGTTGATAAAGCAGAGCAAAGATGGAAATTGAAAGGAGGGTAGGAGGGAGGGAGGGGAAATGTTGTTGTAATGTAATCTGAAGGGTGTGTTATCCTCTCTCAACTCAACCCGTTCTTGCTCTCCGAATGTTGGAAAACAAGAAGGGCTCAATCATGAGCTCGTAACAAGCTCGTTAATTGATATTCCCATCCGCACGCAATCTTCGGTTCCTTTTTAGCTTAGTACACATGCGTTAGGTCCGACCTGCTCGGCCGCAATTGCCGTGTCAGCAGCACCATTCATCAGCTTTTCTTGGCTGCTAACAACCTTAGAAATTGTATCCTGACTCATATAGTCATCTCATTCCTTTAAAGGGGGTGGGGCTTAGGCCACTTGAGCACTGCTTCGACTTTTGATGTTTCTGTGAAACTGAAAGTGGAGAAATTTATGTCGCACTGATTGTCCCCTTGTGTGAGTCCGAATTTATGACTAGATCTTAGCTTGCGGGATGATGGTTTCTAAGTGCCTCAAGTTTCAAGCACCCTCTTTATGCGTCCGGGATTGTCGTTAGAGTCTTTTTTGTATGCCGGTACATCCTAGATGAAAGCAAAACTTTTCCAAGTTAAGCAGCAAATCTCATGCAAACAATTAAGTATTAATTCATCGATGGAATTACTTTTGAAAAGGATCGGCAAGTTGAAGTCAACCAAACCATTTATGAGTTATCTGTTGCATGCTTTTCTCTTGCATTTCATTTGATTACCCGACTCTTGCATACTGATGAATATTGAGGTCCTCGCAATTGATTTGGGTCACTACTCTTGCATATGAAAGTCTCATTGGCTTTTGCAATGATCTCCTTAGGCGTGGTTCTTGGATCAATTTGGTGTCCTTCATGATGGCAAACAGCCCTATCCTGGAGCAATTTCAACTTGTATGTTTTCATCTTCTTGTTTGGTATAGCGATATGCCATTAGTCAGCTGATAGCAGTTGTTAAAAACTTTTATTTGGCTGACAGTGGAAAAACTAGCATGTAGTGGTGCGAAGATGGTGATCATAAGTAATTCCTCTAGGCGTGCATCGACAACCATGGAAAAGATGAAGCACCTTGGATTTGATCCTTCTCTCTTTGTGGGAACCATCACCAGCGGAGAACTCACGTATCAGTACTTGAAGAGGTCTGTTATCCTCTTCTATTACTTTATATTTGTGGACTCCAATTGTATGACTAGTGGAATATTATCATTTTCAGAATTTAAGTTTTGCATATATATGGAATCTGATAGATAAGTTTCTAATCTTGACAGTAGACCTCCAACATTATTGCTAAATGTTCCGAAACATATATCTTGAGCACATTAATACTGAACTTTGTCATAACGACTATTTGGATGGTAAAAAGTGGATTACTTTAGCCTGCAGTTTTCTCTGTTGATTGTAATTTCTAGGTGTTTTAATTACTTCTGTTCTCTTTTTTCAATTCATGAGATAAAATCAATGTCTGAGAAATATTTGTACCATTTATCTGACTTATCTTTCACATAAATAACTAGTCATCTACGAATGACTACGATTTGTTTCTTCTAGTCATAATCGATGAAGTTCCGCAAAATCTTTGTAAATTCAATTAGTTTTATCTCAAATTGACTAAGAGGACTTCTTTGGGATCACCATCACTCACTCACTCTCTCTCTCTCTCTCTCTCTCTGTACGAACATTAATGTCCTATTTGTCCATGGTATTGTATAATACTTTTCTTTGAAAGCTTACTCCTGTTCTCAAACTCATAGGAAATTGTTTCCTGAAATAGGAGAGATGATGCTTGGTTTGCTGCCCTTGGGACATCATGCATTCATATGACCTGGAGTGACCAGGGCGCGATATCTCTAGAGGTTTAGAAACATGGTTGCTTCAGCATCCTTTGCACACCCCAAGCAATACAGAGAATTTCATGAGTGCAGCTCTTCTTCTTATATGTTTCGTTCACAATAAATAAAAAATGAGAAAATTCTATACTTAAATAAGATTCGAGGCCCGAGGAATTATTGTTTATTTAACCATAATTCGAAAAAGCCCATACTATGAGTGCGTCACTGGACATTGGACATTTTTCTAAACATGTGGTAAGTTTAAACACGATTTCTTGTTTTAGGGCTTAGGCTTGAAAGTTGTGGAGAACGTTGCAGAAGCAGAGTTTATTTTGGCTCACGGCACCGAAGCTTTGGGTCAGGCTTCAGGTTCAGTACGACCTATGAAATTAGAGGATCTTGAGAAAATATTGGAGCAATGTGCAGCTAAAAGAATTCCTATGGTGGTAGCCAATCCTGATTTTGTGACAGTTGAGGCTAGATCCTTGCGCGTAATGCCCGGTAAGATGATAATGAAATTCTTTTCCGGCATATGAAACTCTTTGATGTATGTGGATTCGTTTTCTGGGTGCTATCCTTGAAGTTGTCTTTTTAAGCTTAGATATGGTGCTTGAATCTATGTGGTTCGGTCACTTACTTTCAAATACATGAACAAGCATTTTTAGTGCAGTGAATCTTTCGCCCCAATGACTGGAACCCATAAATCAGAGTTGGTGGTGTATGCACTTATATCTGAGTATTTAAAAGACTTATTGACTTTTTATGATACTTAACTGGGGAATTCAGTGCTCTATGTTATTGAGTTCCTTCCAATTATAACAGCTCACATGTAGCTATAGTTTGCTGTCAGCAAATTAAGCTATTAACTGAAGGATGTAATGGTCTGTACCTTATTCAGTGTGAGATGATCGTTTATTATTTTCCATTAGTTATGGATTCACTTCTTCTGCATGTAGGACTTTCATTATATAAGCATTTAGGTGGGGTAACTAATGTTTATTTTGTCAGGTACGTTGGCATCCAAATATGAGAAGCTTGGAGGTGAAGTCAAATGGATGGGGAAGCCTGGGAAGGTGAGATTGTCTTTTGGTGTTGTTGTCACTAGCATCCTTTATTCACTTTAAAGGACAAATAATGTATGATCATTTGAAGTGGACTCCTAAGTGCAGACTTAGTGCTTCAAAAAAGCTGTAGTTTGGGTGCATGCATGTATGCATGTTCACAGATGTGAGCTACATGTGACGTTAATGAGATTACGACTTGATACCATTCGGCAGCTGTGTTACAGAACTGCATTCCCGAGTGGGGGAAGAACCTGCAGAGATATAGCTTTTATTGTGTTTTATAGATCCATTTGGCATAGGGGTCTTCATTTCACATAATTCTTCCGTGTCTTCCTTTGGTTTTTGCCAATTAAGAAGCGTAATAATGTGTCATAAACTGTATCCTCAAGGAACTGTTAGATTTTAGGAACTAACCATGGTTAGGGTCACACTCAATGATGTTCTCTGTGTCAATCTCTAGGATAAATTTTTCTTTGTTTTCATTGTCTACTTTATCATGATCGCTAACGTTGTAGAATGTCGCATTCCTGTTGAACCAGATTATCTATGAAGCAGCTATGAAGATGGCCGACGCAGATGCTTCTGATTCTATAGCAGTAGGAGATTCTCTCCACCACGACATTAAGGGTGCGAATGCAGTTGGAATCCAATCAGCCTTCATCACGTGTGGAATACACGCCTCTGAACTTGGACTTGACAGTTTTGCAGAAGTTGCGGATACATCTCGTGTGGCGGCTTTAGCGTCCAAATATAGTTCTTGTCCATCATACGTGTTGCCTTCATTTACCTGGTAGAGTACATTCCGGTGAGTATATTCATGGTATAATTATTTTGAGTAGATAATTTTTATAGAAAATTATTCACTTTCAGAGGAGGCACAACTATTAGAAAGAGCGCTCCTAGTCCCCCCACGAAGGGCGACGAAACGTAGTCGTTAGGGAAGCGTCACGGAGTTTACCCCTCCGGCTGTCGGCCGTGCGGGGTTCCTGGGTTATCAAAAAAAAAAAAAAACTATTAGAAAGTATTCCTTACCCAAAAAAAAACTATTAGAAAATATTTGTAAGGGAATGAGAGGAGAATGACTCTAAGTTTCCTGGAGACTACTTTTGAACAATGGATTGTATCTTTTTGCCATCCAGTGTCCGATCGACACGATTGTTGCGTCAAATGACAGACTTGGGTTCTTACTACTTGTTTGGTTCGCTTGATAGCGAATTCATTCCCAGTCTATTCCAAATAAAACTGTTATTGGAAATTATTCTGCTGGACTTTATGAACAACATCAGTAATAACAGTAGCAGCTACATGACGCACCATCCTGTGGATGCAAGGGCTGTCACTGGTTGCCCCGTTGGGCCATTTCTCACCCAAGACAGATCTTCTTGAAGAGCTCAAAAGGTAAGACTCCCCTCGCCCTGACATCCAAACAAGCTCAGATGGTAATGGTGATATTAATAAAGCATAGACTGCAAGAAGATATGTTTAGGGAGAACTTGGGACTTCATTGCCATTGCATTTCGCATGTCATAAAGACAACAGAATGTACTGCTATGAAATATCTATTGCTAGTTTAATAAGAAACCAGCGGACCGGCACACCCGATGCATGTGCATCCTAAAAAATAAATGTGTAAATGCATTTTTTTTAACAATCTAGGACATGAGCGTAAAGATCTGGCTATTTACAGGTCCATGAAACATCCTTCATGTCTCATATATCTGTTTAAGTCCTAGTCTTTAATCATACGGGTAGTTTTGACTTAGAGCAATTTGCATGCAGGTTTTAAAGCGCCAATTATTCCAATAAATGATGTACAAATTAACGTCTTCTCTTAGCCCTTATACGAGGCCTTTTTAAAAGTTGCGATCTGGATAAAAGGTAGTTCGTTGGGTCTTTCTTCCTCGTTTTTGCATTACTTTGCAGATATTGCAGCACAAAAGGAGCAGACTCACTGAACATCATCAATTTACCTCCATTTTCTGAAAGAAATGCATGGCATATATAAAGAGAAAATGCAATTCAACAAGCTTAAAAAATGCTTGAATTTCCATAAAGCATTATCACCGGTGCAACGTAAAGTTGTGCACTCAATCATCCATGTCAGAAAACTACTACAGCAAGACTCAAATTACCTTTCAAAACTTTCCAACTTTCACGTTCGCAAATATCCACACAAAGATAAGTTATAACCGAATATATTGATTTCAATAAAATTTTGCTTGAGGATTCCTCAACAGTCTAAAAGAGAAACAACGAACTTAGTTATCCGGTTCAAAGCTGGATTGGTTTTCGGTTCCACCTAGAACCTTTCCCGAGTAGAATCGACTAGTTCAGAGCCTTGAATCGGGAACTTTTCCTGTCTCTACTCATCCTGCGGAGACCTTTGTATGCCTTTCTTGTTGATCGACATCATCACAAGACAAGGATAGCTTCCCTCTTAAGTAATTAAGGGCACTTGCTGAATGTGCCTGTCGAAATTCCCGTATTCGTCTCTCTTCTCGCTCGTATCTCCTGCTCTGTCGTCTCTTGGACTGTTTCATTAAGCTCTTCCCTTGGAACCTCCCTGTCCTCTCCCCATTTCGAAGCTTCCTCATCCACGTTCACTCCCTGGATATTCCCTCTGAATCGCATAAAGTCTGCCGGGAGGCATTGATGCGAAACCTCTTGCCACCCACGAGCCGTTTTTCTCGAGTCCTCGCCCTCTCTGCATTGCCTGCCTTTGAACTGTTGAAAATAACAGCACTGCGACGGCCGGCGAAGCTCGCCATGGCCTTGATGGCAGTCTTGCATGAGGACCATGAGTACGCCTGCGGCGGGTATTGCAGTGGCGGTTGGTGCGGCCATGGATCTAGGGGCTTTGAACCGATGAAAATACACTTCTTTTCTCTATCTCCAGCTAGACCGGCCCTCAAACTCATCAGCTGCGCCGCATCTCTCCCCTTCTGGCTCGCGGGCAACGCTACCTAATCCGCCCCTCCTCGGTGTTTTGAGCTCCAAGCCCATGGCGCCATGATCGGCAGATATTTAACTCGTTCACATTCGCAAGGTCTAGAAACCTTTGCCCCGAGTTCAAGTTTGATTCATGGTCGACGAGATATAACTTCTGTTCTCTTCTTTCAGTTCATTGAGATAAAATCGATGTCTGAGAAAAATTTGCACTATTTACATGAATTGTCTTTCCACATAAATAACTAGTCACCCGCGAATGACAATGATTCGTTTCTTCTAGTCATATTGGCCGAATTTCCGGAAAATCATATTTAAATTAAATTAGTTTTATCACAAAGTAGACTAAAAGGAGTTATTTGGGATGGCCTTCACATCTCTCTCGCCATACGTACATTAATGTCCTAACGGTCCCTGGCATTGTATATCACTTTTCTCTGGAAGCCTACTCCTCTGTTCTCAAACTCATAGGACATTGTTTTCTTGAAATAGGAGATATGATGCTTGTTTTGCTTTCCTTAGGCCTAGGGGTAATCGGTTTCAGGGTGAGTAGGTTCCAGACCTACCCTATTAGAATCGGTTCCGAGTTTTTGGAATGTGGAACTTACCATGTTTGCCATATCTCCAGAGGTTTAGAAACACGGTTGCTTCAGCATCCTTTGCCTACCCTGGCAATACAAAGAATTTCATAAGTGCCACTCTTCTTATTTGTTTCATTCACAAGAAATAGAAATGAGAAAATTCTATACTTGGTATAAGATTCGAGGCCCTAGGGATTTTTGTTTATTCAACCATAATTCAAGAAGGCCAATACTAAGAGTGCATCGCTGGACATTGAACTCTTTTATAAATTTTGGGGATTAGGCTTGAAAGTTGTGGAGGACGTTGCAGAAGGAGAGTTTGTTTTGGCTCACGGCATCGAAGAATTGAAGCGATGTGCAGCTAGAATAATATTGGAGCAATGTGCAGCTAGAAGAATTCCGATGGGGTTGACGAATCCTGATTTCTTGACAGTTGAGGCTGGAGCCTTGCGCGTAATGCCCGGTAAGATGATAATGAGATTCTTTTCCGGAATATGACGTGCATGAATTTATTTTCTGGGTGCTAACCTAGAAATCTTTTTAAGCTTAGATAGGGTGCATGAATCTATGTGGTTTGGTCATTTACTTTCAAATGCATGAACAAGCATTTTTAGTGCAGTAAATCTTTCACCCCAATCACTGGAACCCGTAAATCAGAGTTTGTGGTGCATGCACTTATTATATCTGACAAATTTAAAGCTCTATGATACTCTGAGTTCCTTCAAATTATAATAGCTCACGTGTAGCTATAGTTTGCTGTCGGCAATATAAGCTATTTACTGAAGGATGTAATGGTCTGTGCCTTATTTAGTCTGAGATGATCTTTTGTTATTTTCCATTGGGTTATGAATTCACTTCATCTACATGTGGGACCTTCACTTTATATAAGCTATTGGGTGGGGTATATCATATCCATTTCGTCCGGTTCGTCGGGGTCCAAATACGAGAAGCTTGGAGGTGAAGTGAAATTGATGGGAAAGCCTGGAAAGGTGAGGTCATCCTTCGTTGTTGTTGTCTCTACCATCCAGCGTTCACTTCAAAAGACAAATAATGCATGGTCCCTTGAAGCTGACTCCCAAGTGCAGGCTTAGTGCTTCGAAAAAGTTACTTACTGTGATGTTTAATGAGATTGTGACTTGATACTGATCAGCAACCGTGCTTCAGAACTGCACTGCCATGTGGGGGAAGAACCTGCAGAGATATAAAGCTTTTATATTGTGTTTTATAGCTCCATTTGGCATTGTGGTGTTCGTTTCGCATAATCCTTCCGGGTCTTCGTCTCTTGGTTTTTGCCAATTAAGGGGCATGATAATGTGTCATAAACTGTATCCTCAAGGAGCTGTTAGAGCTTGGGCAGGGTCACACTCAATGATGTTCTCGGTGTCAATCTCTCGGATAAGTGTTTATCGTTGGAGTCTGGTTCATGCTCATCATTGACAAGAAGGCACGGGGTCTAGAAATAGCTACCGTGCTGCCTATATATATATATAATCTCTTTCTTTTGTAATTGGCGAGATTCAAAATTGTTGACCCAACCCTGATCTATCTCTTTCTTACTATAAATTAGATTTGTAACTATAAATTGAGCTTTAATTATGAGTAAATTGAATCCATAAGCAAAAAGCTATAAGCAACTAGAACAGTTTTTGAAAACAAATAAGTTATGAAGAAGTCACAATTGGACATATCATAAATCAATCACGATGACTTTCGAGAAACTACATATCGCACTCCTGAAAATTTGGCACCGTCACAAAGCTAGCCCTCCAACTGTACAAAGTTACAAACCAACCCCATAAACTTTGATTTCTATCGAGGTCGGCCGTTTTAAGTGCGACGTGAAAATGGATAAACTCATTCTTCCCGACCAAATTCTTCTTCATCGAGAGACAACCGTGGGAGACGGCGGCGGCGGCGGCGACGGGCCCGTGCTCCCTAGGAGAACATTCCGGCGAGATGAACAGATAAAACTACGCCGCTTCGGCGTGAGAGATCCGCCCGCCCCCCCGGATCCTTAAATAAGCATCTTTTGGATGAACACGACTTATTTAATCAAAAGAGAGGGGAAAGAAAAGGTGGGAGAAACAAGTGGCGGAATCACACACAACGCAGAAGTAGTACTACAGTAGCGGCACCGGCACCGGCACCACCACGGCAGCAATGAAAGAAGAAACCAAAAAAACAACCAAGGACGAAAACGACCACTCGAAAACACCTCCCCCCCGCCTCTTTTAATCTTCGCTTTTCTTTTGCAGCAGCAGCAGTCGCAGCCCGCGAGACCGAGTCAGCCCGCGAGTCACTGAGTCGGATCGGTTGACCGTGGAATAAAACCCCGAAAAGAAGCCATCACTCGCTCTCTCGCTCTCTCGCTCTCTCTCTCCTCCACCCCAACTAACCGAATTCCCCCAGATCAATCCCCCATCTCTCTCTCTCTCTCTCCTCCACTGTAACGGAATCGCAACCCCCAAATCTTAGGGCTTTCTCTCTCTACCCCCCCCACCCACCACCACCCACCCATGGACGGCGGCGGCGCCCCTCAGCCGGCGGATACCGACATGTCGGAGGCGGCGGCGCCGGCGCCACCTCCCCCGCAGCAGCAGCAGCAGCAGCCGCAGGGGATCGAGAACATCCCCGCCACGCTCAGCCACGGCGGCCGCTTCATCCAGTACAACATCTTCGGCAACATCTTCGAGGTCACCGCCAAGTACAGGCCCCCCATCATGCCCATCGGCAAGGGCGCCTACGGCATCGTCTGGTAGGTGGAGCTTCTCCTCCCGTCCCCCCCCGACTTGTTTCGGCTGGCCCCTTCTCTCTTCGATTGACTGCTCGTTGAGCTGGCTGCCGATGCATCCGGCTCGAAGTAGCTGCTTCTGCTAGCTAGTTTTATCATCGGCGATGTGTAATTATTTTGTTTTGATTCGGTTGTGCTCTTTTTTGATTCTTTTGCCATCTCTCGGTTTCAGTTCGGCTTTGAATTCGGATACGAGCGAGCACGTCGCCATAAAGAAGATCGCTAATGCTTTCGATAACAAGATTGACGCGAAGAGGACTCTCCGCGAGATCAAGCTCCTCCGGCACATGGACCACGAAAACGTCAGTAGTGAATCGCACGCGTGCATTTTTTGTTCGTTACCTGATTGAGAATGGCTTTCTGGGTTGTTTGTAGTGTCGTTGCTTTAACGGTTGGCTTTTGGGCCAGTGATGCCATTGATATTGTGTCCATTTACATTGCTCTCTGTCTCAGTTCTAAATATAACAAATGTGCAATACAGGTGAATTAGCATTTCCTGTTGTTGACAACAAATCAAGAAATAGTGCAGCAATTAGTAGAGCTGTCAAGGGACAGTACCTAAATGACGCTTGAATCTTCTACTTCGCTAGAAGGGGTACCATGTTGTTCTGTGGTACCATTTCTTCTCTGCACCAGTTGTTAATGAGCCGGAGAACATACTGAAACACCTGTCAGTGTATTGCCATTACTCATATTGATATAGAAGTTCTTATTGTTGCTGTGCCTACTTACAGAGTTGAACGTCTCTTCTTTGAGCTTTTAAGTTCATATGCCTTTAAGTGTTGTTGATAGGAAACGGGGGGAGATCTCTGAAAGTATCTTGTGGGAAAGATGTTTGCTATCTGTTTCAGTAGTCAAAACTTAACACGTTCGACTATCGAGTATGGCTGGCAAATGTCTTGTTTGTCACGTCTAATTGCCCCCACATCATAAACCTTTTGTAGGTGAAAAATAAGAAGTCCTCAAGCCAATGGTTTTGTTTTGTGGTCGTTTCAATTGAAATTGCTTTTTGTTGAATTTTTTTAATCTGTATAGTTTGAGCTGAGTAAATGTTGATTTGGTGTCTTTTTGTCGAATTATAGCTTTTCATTGTCAGAAAGTATAAGCAAATTGAAAAGGAAGTAAAAGAAAAGCATAAATGCATTTACATGGCAAGAAATTATGGAACCAGACAAACATCTTCAATGACTTGGTTATTAATTTGGACTTGAACATTGTATTAATCTTCTACACGAAAGTTGGAAGGATTGATGAGACTGACATTTTAGATGATTCACTTACAACTTTTATCGTGAGCATGGGAAATGTGTATGTCATTTAATTTCTCTTTCTCTGTGTAGATTATGATATAGGCAATGTTATCAAGAGGGAATAAGGGAGGAAAGAAAAGATAAAGAGGGGGAAGTTGTTTTCCTTTATTTGAAAGAAGAAAGAAAATGGACAGGATCGAAAGTAGACGAAAATTGGGATGAATGTGGAGGGAAACTTTTAACTCTAAAAATGCGTGGAAAACACAAAGAAAGTGGATAAAGTTACTCATTAGACTTTGTTTTACAGTTCTTAATCATTTCTAGAAGGGTAATGTTGTTTTTTTTAACACATATGATCAGAATTTTTCCTCCAATCACTCTCTCTCTCTCTCTCTCTCTCTCTCTCTCTCTCTCTCTCTCTCTCTCTCTCTCTCTCTCTCTCTCTCCTTTCTTTTTCTTCTTCCTAAATGCAAGAAAAAAAGACCTCTTTTTCCTCCTCCATTTTCTTTTACTAGATAATTCACATTTCCTCCTGCTTATGTTTCGAACGAAATGCAACCAAAAATATCATAAAATGGAGTAAGATCCTGTTTCAATCGAAATAAATGATAGAATGATTATTTGGGTATCATTGACAACTATTCTTATGTTGGAGGCAAAAAATTTCAAAAGTTTAATTTCTAATATACTGATATAGAAGGGTACTGGTACTCATCATTCTTAGAGATGTTATAGGTGGATTTATCATGATTGGATGCAATTTGAAATGGTATGAAAGTGGTTCTTGTTGGTATAAAGAACAAATTTTGAACTATGATTGGTGGGATTCCACATGCATGCGGTCTTTAATCGAGACTATATTTATCTAGGGCTTGGCTATCATGCTAGATACAAAGTAAGCCCTTTAATTAATACAGAACTGGTATTGCATGGCTGTTTTAACAGAACTTGCTTTTCGGTTATTATGATTCTTATATGCTCATGTGAGATTCTGTTATGTTAATGCAGGTTGTGGCAATCAGGGATATAATTCCACCGCCACAGAGAGAGGTGTTCAATGATGTTTATATTGCATATGAGCTAATGGACACTGATCTGCATCAAATTATTCGTTCCAACCAAGCACTGTCTGAGGAGCATTGTCAGGTTTCATTTAGCCATTTATCGTACGATACTGGCACTTCCTTCTAGATGGGATACTGCTTTCTTGTCAGTAGCTGTTTCTTAATTATGCTAGTGGGAGTTGTCATCCGCTGCTTTCTTGTTATATGCTGATTCTTAATTAGACTATTGGGAATTAGCCAAAAAAAATTAGGTTATTGGGAACTTTCAAAGAAAATCTGTATTCTAATGAAAAGCCAAGATTGCAAAGATATCATACATTCTTTAGCTGCCAAATTTTCTAAAGTTTATTGCAATTAAATTTTTTTTCTTGCATTGACACAGGAAATAATGGGGGCACTAAATGATGCTGGGAGTACATATGAACTAGAATTAGTCATTCCATATATGTAATGTCAGCCGGAATTTCATTCAGCCAATCCTGGGATAAAATATTGCAAGCGGCCTTCTACGGCAATTATATAATTTCATCAATTAAAAGATATTAGATCTACAGGCTATAAATTGGAGGCTTCTCTTGGAGGCATATGAACCAAGACTTTATTGTTCTTATCAAAATGATTATTTGATAGTTAAGTCGCAAATGAGGACACGTAGATCATTATTTATAGATAAAATTTAAGGATCTTCTACGGAATCCATTAGGCCAGAAATAATCTGGAACTGTTGCGGTGATGAAGAATAGCAAAAGAATGGTGCCATCTCCTAGGTTTGCTTATTTATGGGAGCTTGATGATGATATGAGACTGGTTTTCCCATTTTGTCTATATGGCATTGATTTCTTGCTTGGAGAGGAGATGCATGAAGGTTATTGTCATAAACACTCCCTTTTTGCTACAAACACTAGAAATTGAATGCCTGTATGGTGCTGATCATTTAGCTGTATACTGCTCATATAATTTATATTCAAATCACTTGCGTTGTGGTTGATGACTATCCATTTGTGTCTTTTGCAGTATTTTCTGTATCAGATCTTGCGAGGGTTAAAATACATTCATTCTGCAAATGTTCTGCATAGAGACTTGAAGCCCAGCAATCTTCTCCTAAATGCAAATTGTGACTTGAAAATATGTGATTTTGGACTAGCTCGTGTCACTTCTGAAACTGATTTTATGACAGAATATGTTGTCACGAGATGGTACCGTGCGCCAGAGCTATTGTTAAATTCTTCGGACTATACGGCGGCAATAGACGTATGGTCTGTAGGCTGTATTTTTATGGAACTAATGGATCGGAAACCCTTGTTTCCTGGCAGAGACCATGTTCAACAGCTACGTTTGTTGATGGAGGTAACATTTAAGAAGTTGGTCAGTTGTTGAGCAGTTCTCTTTGGAGACTTTCTTTCCATGTCACTTTCTTGCATTTTTTTTCCTCACAAATTTCGCCCTTAGGAGCTCTTTTTCTTCTTGTATTTGCTAATCTAAACCAAAAATACTGCCACCTAAGATGGTTCTAGATAGGCATTCTCTAATTTACACTCTTTCTTGTTGCACCATTTACTATTAATGTGTCTTCAGTGGAGATGGATTTGATTGAGCTCTGTAGAGGTTATGCTGTGACATCTAGTAGTTATGATCGTGTGACCTTGCAGCTGATTGGCACCCCATCAGAGGCAGAGTTGGGGTTCTTAAATGAAAATGCTAAGAGGTATATCAGACAGCTTCCTCTGTACCGTCGGCAATCCTTCACTGAAAAGTTTCCTCATGTCCACCCGCTTGCAATTGATCTCGTTGAGAAGATGCTAACGTTCGATCCCAGGCTGAGGATCACAGGTGCGAATATGTTCTCTGATACTTTCCTGTAAGCCATTTCTGCATGGACTTTAATTGCTTTCCTAATCTACCATGAGTCTCGTGTAAACTAACTGGGTCGCTTGCTGATGTAACTGTCATTGATATTGAAGATGTGGATATTTGCACTAGGGATTTACTCAATTCCTTGTTTGGACTGTGTATGTTCTTCCATACCTGCATCTGCTTGCTTCTTTTTCTGTGTATATTCTAAAATGGTATTTATTGGTTGTGAAGTTGGTAATGCTTTTAGGCTGTAATAATCTTCTGTCTATGTCACTGGATCAGGTTATGCTAAGGGTGCTAGGATATATGCAAAAATTAGTGGCCTGTTATGTGAGCATGTGATGATGATCTGATTATAGTTGAGAAACTCTTCATTGGCTAAAAGATGAGTCATAAGTTATTACCTACAACTTTTCATCTTTTGTAGGGTGCTATGAAGTTATTTTACTTATGTTTATCTATTTTTCTCAGTGACAATTACTTAGGGGTCCTATCATTTCAGAAGAAGTAAACTTCTGAAGGATGTCAATGATTCTGCCCCTTGTGCTTGGTGTGTGATTTGCCAAGTTGCCGAACCAGACTGTCCCTATTTAGTTCCTGAACTCAGGCAATGAACAATAAATGATGAGTAGAGAAACGGGGTTCAGAATGGAGGTTCAAGCAGGCTACTTTATTTCATTTATCTTCTAACTAGTTGAATGTTTGAGAGAGATTTTCATCCAAAAAAGACGTAAAGTGAGACAACCACATCTGCATTCATATTTAAATTGTCATCTAAATATGGAAACTGCAGCTTTTACAGTGTAATGGGGTCATGTACAAGAATCCATGGAGTTGGCCTTTGCCAAGTCCCGGGGTATGATTGGAGAGGTGACTTGTGGCTGTGCTCATACTCCTATTTTGAACACATGAAACCTGATAAACAATCAGTACTGTTTATATTTTCTATTCTGCCAAAAGTGCAGAATGTTAAGGGCTATATGTCAGACATGGAACCTAGGACCAGGATCAGGGACGTGAATTGCAAAGAGCCATAATTCTTAGTTCAAAATTAACCCCACAAAAAATGTTAACACTTTTGTCCTCTTACATTTGAAGATCAATTTTCGTAGAACTTGACAATGATTAAAGAAAAAAAAAAAAAAGGTAGAGCAACACCAAAGTTTTTCCCCAAAAAAAAAAAGTGACTATAGAACATCAAGCTTCTATTGTACAGTCTGATACCAATCTTGTTGATATGGATTGCACTCAAAGTTCGAAATACCGTGAATGCGTCAGTCTCACAGCAGTGTAAGCAGTCTATCAACTTAGTAAGTAATCTACAATCTCAATTGAAGTTGGACGTGCCAAAATAACATAATTGTAGACATCACTGTAGTGAATTTCATGCTATATAAATTTTCATGTACTTCCCCTTAATCTAGTCTCTGCAAAGAATTGGTATTTATACCCTAACTTGTTTGACATGACAGATACATATCCGGCTGCTAGGAGCCAATGTAATGACACATGATTTGGATGACTAGTATACAGATGGCAAATGGGGCCTTATAATGAAACTTAAACTAGTCATTTGGTGATAGTCTCTACCGAATAAAACACTACAGAATGCATAAGTTAATTCATATACCTGAGTGAATGTCATGTCGCACATAATATGTGCATAATCCGCTAGAAGAGGTAGAGAAATACTGCATTCAATACACAACTTTAGTCATCCGCTTTCATTTTGAAATAGGAGCGCGGAAGCATAGTATTCACTTGATCTTTCCAAAATAAAGCACAATTTGTGCTGCCACAAAAAATTCAAAGTAGAAATTTGAATTTTAATTGCTTTAACTTCCTATGCTTCTCTAGATTATTGGTACAAGCTTGATCCATCTTAAGACCGTGACGTCAGAACTGCAGGAGCCAGGAGTCTGTCTCCACGAATGTGCCACCTTCACCCATCTTAGTCTCATCAAAAGCATAAAATGCTAGCCACCATTTGCAGACATACATGGCGGAAATCTCTAGTGAACAGATAATGAATCTCATAATGCCTCTAGAGCTGGTCTGTGTCTGTTTTGGACTGGCAGTGAGTGGCAAGAACTCATTGACTGGCTGGAAGAGATTGTTTTGAAAAGTTCTGCAATTAATACATCATGTGGAACATGTGTGCGGTAAAAGGAATGACAATCACTGATTGAGCTACATTTCATAGACCTGTTAAGGACTGAACTTTCATTTAAGTTTTCTTGGTCTAGCTTTTTTTAAGCTTAATGTCTGAATCCCACAAAGTTTGTTTTCTTTTTCTGAGTCCTTCGGTACACTTCCTGTGAGCTTGGATTGTACTCGTTCCGACAGCAAGCTCTATTTATCAAAAAAGATAGAAGGAATATGATGATGACTTAGATCCTCTAATCATAAATTTATAAGGTCTGTCGTCCTATACTGGGAAATTTGTTGAGTCCGGAAGATTCTGTATTGATTTAGAGACTGAGCTGAAGGCAGCTCATGCTGAAACTACGTTGGTGATCCATTTTTTCGTTTTCCTTTTTTCCCTTTCCTACCTTGGATGGAGATTGGAGTTCGAAAGTTAAGCTCTACTTTAGTCAGTGGGGTATAAAAAGAGTTTCTTGCAAGGTTTTGTCATGGTTGATGTATGTTTCCTCAGTAAAGGAGAAGCCAATTTTGTGGACCATCTGCTGTACATTGTTCTGCTATGAGGCAAGCTTTTGAACTTGGTTAATACCACCATCGAGCTGTGTTGGAGGTTCTTTTCTGATCAGAAGACCGATGCTTGAACCACCGAAAAAGAAAAAAAGAGAAGTTACCTGATGTTTGGACTTTTGTTCATACAGTAATTATTGGTACGAGTTTCCCCAAGTATGTCTGCAAATAAAGTGCTTGGTATTTGGTGATTGGCCTGGTTGTATGCTCAAATTAAAAAGCCACTTGGTTTGTCCTAACACGTGGGAGATGCGATGAGCATTTATATATGCCTTTAAGTGTGAGTCATGATTCACAGCCTTTCTGAGAGCTTAGAAAATTATGCATGAGTGAGTTTCACGAAGCCGAAACAGGTATCTCATGAATGTAATTAGGCCCGATTAGGTAATAGTCCTGCATATATGTTTGGCTCATTCACTGATTATGGCATGAATGCTTTCGTCATTAGCCAAGGTAATGTGATTTTTGGCTGCTTTTTTAAACAGGGCCATTGTAGATTATAGATTGCTTCAGGTGATAGGACAAAGGGATCTCGTAAATTTCCTTCCTATGTCTTACCATAAATTTGCTTAGTTGTTGTGCTTGTCTCGTGACCGTAGACATTCCTGTTTCAATGAGATTTATGAATCTCTTAACACTTAGTTTCTTTGGTACAGTTGAAGAAGCATTGGCTCATCCCTACCTAAACTCGCTGCATGACATCAGTGATGAGCCGACGTGCACGAATCCATTCAACTTCGACTTTGAGCAGCATGCACTCACGGAGGAACAGATGAGGGAGTTAATTTATAGGGAAGCGCTCGCTTTTAATCCCGAGTATCTACAGTAATGGAAGTCATGCTGTTAGTATGTGGTGGCTTTTCTCGAGTGTGATGCCCGTGTTTTACGTGGCGATGATTTATTTCTTCGTGTACATATTTTCTATCTTATTGTTGGATGGCTCTACTATTGAATTCTTTTCATGACTTCGACAACCATAAGAACTTTCAAAGACTGCCTGTATTAACTGTTTTTCTTCATTGCTCCACCTGTTAATTGAGCCAACATCTGCTGAGTATCCTTGCATACCTCTCTCTCTCTCTCTCTCTCTCTCTCTCTCTCTCTCTCTCTCTCTCTCTCTCTCTCTCTCTCTCTCTGTATTGATGGCACCGCCAGGATATGATTGGGTTATAAAATCCTATTATACGTGGAATAATCATCAGAGTAATAGGGGATATCAGCACAAGGCGTATGATGATGTTTGATATTACTGACACTAATCATCTCTTGAATATTTTTTAGCCATCACCGTCTTTCATTTTGCATTCAAAGGGTAGAATGAGGTCTGAATATTCTTAGAAGCTCCACTCTCCGACATTTCCTTCATCGGGGACACGGTTGATGATTCGAATTCCATTCTGTGGTGTTGACAGGACAGTTAATGTGGCGTGGAACGATTGTAACAGCAACTGTTAAGGTTGCTCTTCTACTTTTGACATGTGGTTTCGAAACACAATTCTGCTGTATTATGGTTCTGTGGATAGTGCATGCCATGCGTTCCTTTGTTATCTTTTGGTACAAACCAAATAGGGTATATGGACTATGGAGGACATTCCTGATAAAGTCCTTTGGAATATCTGATGCAACTGAGCCTGATAAAATCTCGTTTTAAGATGACCGGTGCATAAGGCACGCATCGCCGCCTTTCTTTAACTAGAAGGGAGGAGAGGAGCAGAACAATAATACAGATACGTCAACAAAACTTGGAAAAGGGTTCTTTGCTGTGTCGAGACTATCAAAAGAGAGTCCGCAGCGCAAGGTTGGACTATCTTGTTGCAGCCAACAATCGGTACGATCCATCAGGTTCTTCGTTTTGTTAGAAGTCACTGAAAATGCAGTTCTGTGCAAGCAATTCAACAGAGAGACTAAACTTATACACTAGCTCTCACATGTACAAATCCACACGCATTAAAAAGCTGTTCACAATTCATACAAGCATTGTTCATTTAGCTCTGCAAAGCTCTGCAGCCATGTTATTCTAATTCAAATATAAAAGCTACAACCATTCTTACATCACATTAAAGAAAGGCTCGAAGTAGAACTTGAGGCGCAAATGGGATATCGATGGCTGATAAAATCAGGATTAACAAATATAAAAGTGAAAACAATCGAGTCATCAACTCCTCTCCTGTTTTAGGAGGATAATCTTTACAAGTACAAAGCATGCAGGCCACGCAGTAAAACTGCTAACTCTTCACATTATCGAAGAATCTGGAGAGTGGTACAGGACCGGTTTCTTCATCGTCACTGCCACTCCGTTTTCTTGACCGGTGCTTCTTCTCCTTTCTATTTCGTTTTGACCTGGACCTTGATCTTTTAGATTCCTTCTCTTCTTCTTCATCACTTGAATAATCAGAAGATGAGCTTGTGGAGCTAGACCGGTGCTTCTTCTCCTTTTTATTTCTTTTAGACCTGGACCTCGATCTTTTGGATTCCCTCTCTTCTTCTTCATCACTTGAATAATCAGAAGAGCCCGAGGAGCTAGAATCTGAAGATCTCTTCCTTGACCTCTGCAAAAGAATCAACAATAGAATTCAGGATCTTGGAAAAAATTAGGTACGCGGAACTAGATATACATCTTCCCCTGAAGGTGACCTAGTTCTCAACTTCAGTTTGACAAAGGAAACTCACTCCCGAAAGCAAACGAAACCTGGAAATGTGGGAAGAAGAAAGAACCAGTCGTTCTTCCTCCATCATCCGAGGTAAGAAGAAGAATCCTTGCTTTCTCTAGAAAGGGGAAAGGGCTGGCTTTTGATTTTGAAGGGTCCAAACATACCGTTGAACAAATTCAGTCGTCACTAGGTGAATCCTTTACATTGTACTTTCTGATGTTTCATCACTCCTTATATGTTAGCAACGCACTTTAACATGAATCAGAAATGGGAGCCAAGCTGGGTCCACAGACGTCGGAACTCAGCCAAGTAAAAGAAATGGCCTCTGTTCCAATAGTGGAAAAACCGCTTGAGAAGGAGAATAAGAAAGAAGAATGAGCAATTCTTTTTGTGTGTGCATGCTTGTGTGTGCGCGCTCGAGAGAGAGAGAGAGAGAGAGAGAGAGAGAGAGAGAGAAACAAAATAACTCACTTCTCAAGCGTTAGGTCTCCATCTTATATTAGAAAGAACAAATTCCCATCCAAGACCTAAGCAATAGTTAGCATAGCTATTGACAGCAATACTAAAAAAGCTATTGACAGCAATAGTAAGCACATCTAGACATCCCATTTAAAAAAACCAAGGCACTTCCCAGGATTTTTCTAGACAAACATAAAGTCTTAAACACTATAGCATCCAATCATGGATACAATCTAGACTCATGCATAAGTGCATCGTAAAAAAATACGTCTTCCACAAAAAAGAAAGAGCCTAAAAGCAGAGCATTTTATGAGCTTTTATTGATCTTTTACATGGTGGACTACAAAAAATGAGGTGAACTTTACGAGAAAGGACCAATTCCACTCAGAGAGTGGAAAGACCATTCACGTGCACAAGAAACAGAACAAGTATTAACTACATTAAGAAAAACGTAGGCACCTTTCTCTTGCCACTGCGTTTCCTTTCATCTTTCTCCTTGCGATCTGCAAAGACATTTCCGATTTGATATAGGAACTAAAAAGTGCATAGAACTTGCAAGGCCCCAATGGTTGTTACATACCCTTTTTCCGCTTAGATTTACTACTAGAGTGGTTTCTTCCATGCGCAAGCTTGTGTGCCCTTTCAGCGTCTAGCTGCGCTCTGTACTCTCTCATCATCTTATCTTTGTCCTTTTCCATTTCCCCTTTCTTGATCTCTTCTTCCTAGTAAAATATATAATTAGTGACAAATTTAATTCGAGCATTTGAATTTTGCAGAGCTCACCCAAACAAAGAGATTTAGACCCAAGATTTGATCAAGTACACCAATGTATGAATTAAGAGTCCAAGTACAGGTTTAAGCACACAGTTTGCCCGGATCAAAATAACACAATGCATGTCTGCTCCAAATTTAAAACTCAAGAACAAGGTCCCATTAGGATAACACTCTTTATTAGTTTAAACAATTAGTCTTAACAGTTTGTTACCCTATCTTAGTGACTATGAGAGTTACTCCACATAACAACTTACGCATATGGTGTACTAAGGAGACCGTGCACTTAAAAAGGTGAGGGCCTTTAGATGCCCACGGCATAATTCAGAGCTAATAGTAGATAAGAAATTTGTGTGCATGGAACTGGTATGGAATATAAGGCCTAATACCAGATGTTCGATGCAGCCAAAATCAAAGATACAATAATGCGACCATGTGATTGCTTTATAAACAACTAGTTTGATCCCAAAGGAAATCAAACTTTCAGTCCATTTTCATCATATTGGCATTTAAATTTCTCCCAAGCAACTACTTTGAAGCTAAAATTCAAGCCATCAGCCTGATTCATATTTGAACTCAATGAAATGGCACAAAGTTTATTCAGCTGATGCTGGAATTGCTTACACCAAGCTAGAGGGAACTGGTGCAAAACACACTAAAATTTGACCCACCAGACAGTCGGTTTGCATGACACCACAAGGTCAGTCAATCACCAGTAACAATCCAAATGCAAAATGACACGAAAGAACCAGCACAAGGAACACGGCAAAAGAAAGTTGAACGTGCAAGAAAAGCACCGTTAAAGAAATTTGGAAACCAAGAAGAAGCCAACACAAATAACTTGTATTGCTTAATGTAATGCAAAGATTGCCATGCAAAAGAAACAACTTTCTTGAACAGAAACTTCAACTGCATATGATAGAGTAAACAGTCACAGTCATGACTACGTCACTTTTTATGCGTAAAATCCTTCATTCATGAGAATCCTACCTAGAAAATTTCAATTAACAAAAGACTGTAGATAGCTGAATAAATTTCTACTAGGCAAAGAGGAGGTGTTGATAATTTTCGATTACATGACTATCATTTA